TCTATTCTGGAGAATGTTGCATGTTCACTTAAGAAGAATGTGTATTTTGCGGTTATTAGGTGGAATATTCTTTATATGTCTGTTAGATCTAGTTGGTTTATAGTGTTTTTCAAGTCCTCTATTTCCTTATTGATATTCTCTCTAGATCTGTCTTTATTGAAAGTGGAATATCGAAGTCTCCAACTATTATTACAGAACTGTGTATTTCCCCCTTCAGTTCTGTCAAATTTTTTTTTTAATAATTTTATTTATTTATTTTTCCCCCCAAAGCCCCCAGCAGATAGCTGTATGCCATAGCTGCACATCCTTCCAGTTGCTGCATGTGGGACGCAGCCTCAGCATGGCCGGAGAAGCGGCGTGTCGGTTCGAGCCCGGGATCCGAACCCGGGCCACCAGCAGCAGAGCGTGCGCACTTAGCCACTAAACCTCGGGGCCGGCCCTAGTTCTGTCAATTTTTGCTTCATGTATTTTGGGTCTTTGTTGTTAGGTGTGTATATATTTATACTTGTTATATCTTCTTGATGATGTAATCAATATATAATGCTCTTCTTTGTCACTTGTAACAATTTTTGACTTCGTCTGTTTTGTTTGATGTACTATAGATACCCAGAGCTCCCTTTTAGTTACTATTTGTATGAATTATCTTTTTCCATACCTTCACTTTCAACCTGTGTGTGTCTTTGGATACAAAGTGAGTCTCTTATGAACAATATGTAATTAGATCTTTTTTTTAATGCATTCTGCCAATTATTTCCTTTTGATTGTGGAGTTTAATCTATTTACATTTAAAGTAATTATTCATAAAGTAGGACTTACTCTTGCCATTTTGCTATTTGCTTTCTATCTTGTATCTTTTATGTTCCTTAATTCTTCTATCACTATCTTCTTTTGTGTTTGATTTTTTGTAATGTTGCATTTTGATTTTCTTCTCATTTCCTCTTTTGTATATTTTAGTTATTTTTTTACTGGAGGATTATAATTGACATCTTAAATTTTTAACAAATTAGTTTAATACCAACCTACCTTCAATAGTTTACACACATTCTGCTCTTATCCATAAAGGGCTCTCTCCCTCCCTTTTGTGTTGTTATTGTCACAAATTGTATCTTTATACATTGTATACCCATTAACATTGATTTATAATTATTGTCTTATGCCTTTGTCTCTTAAATCATATAGGAAAAGAGGAGTTACAAACCAAAAAGGCACTAATACTGGCCTTTATATTTACCTATGTAGTTACCCTTACCAGTGTTCATTATTTCTTCATATGGCTTCAAGTTACTGTTTCGTGTCCTTTCACTTAACCCTGGAGGACTGACTCCCTTTAGCATTTCTTGTAGGGGGAGTCTGCTAGTGACAAATTCCCACAACTTTTGTTATCTGTGAAGTCTTAGTTTCTCCTTCATTTTTGAAGGATAGTTTTGCCAGATAGAGAATTCCTGGTTAACAGTTTTTTCTTTTAGTACTTCAAATATGTTGTCCCACTGTCTTCTGGTTTCCATGATTTCTGATGAGAAATCAACTGTTAACTTCATTGAGGCTCTTTTGTACAGGACAAGTCATTTGTCTCTTGTTGCTTTCAAGATTTTTTGTTTGGCTTTGGCTTTCAATAATTTGTGGTGGGTCTTGATGTGAATTTCTTTGAGTTTGTTTATCTTACTTGGAGTTTTTTGAGCTTCTTGAAATGTGTTGCTTCATGCCTTTTATCAAATTCGAGAAGTTTCAGCCATTATTTCTTTTTTTTTTTTTTTTTTTTTAAAGATTTTATTTATTCATTTTTTTTCCCCCCAAAGCCGCAGTAGATAGCCGTATGCCATAGGTTCACATCCTTCTAGTTGCTGTACGTGGGACTCGGCCTCGCGCTGGACGGAGAAGCGGTGCCTCGGGGCGCGCCCGGGATCCGAACCCGGGTCGCCAGCATCAGAGCGCACGCACCTAACCGCTAAGCCACGGAGCCGGCCCAGCCATTATTTCTTCAAATATTTTTTCTGTCCCTTTCCCTCTCTCCTTTCCTTCTGAGACTCCTATAATGTGTATGTTCGTATACTCCATGGTGTTCCACAGATAACCTGGACTCTATTCATTTTTTGATACATTTTTCTTTCCGATCCTTAGACTAGGTTCTGTTGATCTATTGATCTGTTCAGGTTCAGTTGATCTTCAGGTTCATTGATTCTTTCTTCTGCCTGTCAAATCCAAATCTGCTGTTGAACCCTAGTGAATTTTTTATTTTAGTTATTACACTTTTCAGCTTCAGGTTTCTATTTGATTCCCTTTTGTAATTTCTATCTCTTTATTGATATTCTCTACTTGATGAGACATTATTCTCCTGGTTTCCTTTATTTCTTGGGCACAATTTCCTTGATCCCTTTCAGTATATTTAAGACAGTTGATTTAAAGTCTTTGTCTAATAAGTCCAATCTGGGCTTCCTCTGTTTCTGTTAATTAACAATTTCTGTTGATTTCTTTTTTTTCTGTGAATGGACTATTCCTTTTTTGCGTGCCTGTCTCATAATTTTTTGTTTAAAACTGGGTGTTTTTAATATTATAGTGTAGTAGCTCTGGAAATCGAATTCTCCCCCTCCTCAGAGTTTGTTGTTATGGGTTATAATTGTTTGTTTAGTGACTTTTCTGAACTGTTTTTGTAAAGATTATATTCTTCGTCATATGTCGTGTGTGGTCACTGAAGTCTCTATTCCATCATCTTAGTGGTCAGCTAGTGATTTGACAGTGATTTCCTTAAATGCCAAAATTCCGCAGCTTCTTTCCTCGGTAAGCACTCTCCTGGTTATTGTAAATTAGATTCCAGATTTCTGAAAAAGTTGATTCTGACAGTTTTTGCCAACTTAAGGTTGCTTTGGTGGAGGGACAGGTTTTTGGAATTCCCTACTCTGCCATTTTCAGTGATGTCACTTGATCCTCATTTATTCTTAATTCTACAAGAAACTATAAATTTAATCATCTCCTTATGTCCATGTATCTCTAGTCATTTTTGTTGTCGGAAGCTCATTCTTAGTAGATTTGTCAGGAACAGTTTATAAGGACAGTATTTCCTGAGTTTTTGCATGTTGATAACATTTTTTCTGTGCCCTTTATACTTGAAAGTCACTTTTGCTGGATAAAAAAATGCTTGGCTCACATTTTCTTTCCTTGTCTATCTTAAATATATTACTCCATTTTCTTATGGTTATTGAAATGTCTCATGTCTGTCTTTCCCTTTTAAGTCATTTGCTGTTTTTTGCCTAGAAGCCCAAAGAATTTTTTTTTTTTAATTTTTATTTATTTATTTTCTCCCCAAAGCCCCAGTAGATGGTTGTATGTCATAGCTGCACATCCGTCTAGTTGCTGTATGTGGGACGCGGCCTCAGCATGGCTGGAGAAGTGGTGCGTTGGTGTGCGCCCGGGATCCGAACCCGGGCCACCAGTGGTGGAGCACGCGCACTTAACCTCTAAGCCACAGGGCCAGCCTTGCGTTTATTTCTAACTCTTTGAATTCTGTCACTTTGTCTCTGAGTTTTTCCAATTATGACTTAGGTTGCTTTTCATATCTGAGATCATTTTCTTAATGTCTTTTAGCTCTGTCTGAAATAGTAAGTTATAGTTTTGATCTGTTTTATGGAAATGTGTTTCTGATGTGCTTGCTTTCTTTTCCTTTAGTTTTAAAGGGGAAGTTGGTTCGGGACTTGACCTTGGTCCTTTTTTGTTGTTAATTTTTATGTGATACTAGTTTTTCTGAATTTTTAGAAGATGGTATGTTTCAGGTCAGGTTTTCTAACTTCGCAAGAAAGACCTCCATCTTACTATTATTTTATACCATTCAAAAATATGGCAGCTTGCTTTCTGATATTTCCATGTTATGTTCCTATTTATGTGTTAGGTTTCTACTTTTATCTGAACCTCCTCTTTCCTTTGTCTCTCTTGTCTCTGTCCTGATCACTTTTGTCTCCACTCCCAGCAGTTTCCCCTCAGGATGGGCCTTTGTCCTGGAAGGGAGCCCTGGCAGGTCAGTGTAGAGAGTGCACAGGACCTTGGCTGCTCCAGCCCCTTCAGACCTTGCCGCCGGGCCCTTGCACTCAGCCGCTGTTGGAGTGGAGGAAACCCTCCCACTTTCAGCTGCTGTTCCCTTAGACACATCGTGCTTTCCAGTGAGTGCCTGCTGGCCACTTTGGGGTATCCTGTTCTTGGGTCTGTCAGAGGCCCCATTGCTTCTCTCCGCTTTCCCCCATGTATGTGTTCATAATGTGTAGCTCTTAGGACTGGTGGTACTCTGTCCCTACCTGCTTGTATTTGGGAGTTATGGGACTGTCTTGTCACCTAGTTTTGCTGTAAATGTTGTCCATGGGTTTTGGTTTGGATTAAAAAACCTATGCTGCTGCTATCATCATCTTCACAGAACCCAGTCTTCCGTATTTTCAAATCTCTATATGTTGTCTCTTTGTCTCTCTGAACTGCGCTCTGAATAATGTGGTTAATTCTGTCTTTCAGTTCACTTAATTTTCTTTTCAATTGTGTCTATTCTATGGTTTTTAATATGTTTTCATTTCTGTTTTGTTCTTTTTCAGCCCTGCTTGGTTATTCTTTGTAGTTTCTGGTTGGCTCCTCATACTTTTAATCTTGTCAAAGGTATCTTATTTCTTTGAACATATTAAATATGGTTATTTTATATTCTCTCTGATAATTGCAATATTTGAAGCTAGACTCTTGTTTTTGGTGCTTCTTATTTCCTTTTGTGCTTAGTGATTTTTGGCTGAGTTGCCCATTTTCCTTGGAAATTTATCTGTGGGGATGTTTACAGCGTGGGCTGAAGGTGGGGCGTGTACGGGATATGGTAGCATTTTGTGTCCTTTTTTCTTGTTTATTTTTAACATAGAAGGCGTTGTGCTATACCTGTTTATCAGCAACTTACTTTTTTTTACCAAAATGCCGCAGTGTATCATAGCGCTGCCATTGGAGTGGTTGTAATGAATCTCCTTTGCCTTGTTCTCTGGGATCCGCAGGTGTATCCTGAGTTTGAAGATCAAAGAGCTTGTCTGCCGTCAGGGTCTTTTCTGACTTGTTCCTCAGACAACACCATCCGCTTCTGGAACATGGATAGCGGCCCTGACTCTCACTATCAGAAAAACATCTTCAGTAATGTGAGAGGCTTCCTTGTGACCTGTCTTTTGGAAGAACAGAGACCTGCGTTAAGCTAGGATATTGGGGCGGGACGGAGTCTTACGGAAGCTTAGCGTTAGGCTTCACCAGGGGCGGGAACCAAGGCAGGTCCCTCTCTGTCTCCCCTCTCCTGTTTCTCTCTCTCCCTCTCTTTCTGTCTGCGATAGAAGAGCCTGTCCTCTCCACTCCTGTCTGCCAGTCAGCTCCTGCTCTCCAGGTGTGTGTGGACACAGCCGCTCTAGACAACCTGACACACTCAGTAGAAATGAAATTGCTCCCCAAGTCTTGAGTCGGAACTCCCTGGCAAAGCACCTGATGGGCCAAACCAGGCAGGGGCCTCCCCTGTCCAACTAGCTGCCACGCAGTGGGGCCTCAGGTGGGGGTGCTGGCAGGACCCCACAAAGAGCCAGGATGAGAGGCTGGGGAGAAAACACTTTACTGAAGAAATGATTGGTATTGCCAGCTCAGTGAGGGAGCCTCTCTGAGGAGCTGAGCCCTGAATCGTGCATTCATTTATGCTGCAGACACTTAGGAAGGCCAGTGCTGCACGCTGGGGACACGTCAGTGTCTAAGACAGACCCTTCTCCTGCCCTCCTGGCACCACAATCTAGTGGGGAGGGCAGACAGTGAGCCAGGACCTGCACAGATTCTGACATAATCACAAATGGGATAAGCACCACGAAAGAAAATTTCAGGGTGCTAGTAGGATATAAAACAGTCATCTGGGGGCTGGCCCTGAGGTGTAGCGGTTAAGTGCGCGCTCCACTGCTGGCGGCCCGGGTTCTGATCCCGGGCGCACACCGACGTGGCACTTGTCAGGCCATGCTGTGGCGGGCTCCCACATAAAGTGGATGAAGGTAGGCATGGTTGTTAGCCCAGGGACAATCTTCCTCAGCAAAAAGAGGAGGATTGGCATGGACGTTAGCTCAGGGCTGATCTTCCTCACAAAAAAAAAAAAGCAGTCGTCTGATCTTCTGTGTGGCATCAGGGGCAGCTTTCTAGAGGAAGAGACGCCTGCACTGAGATAATGGAGGATTGGGAGGAGTAAAGAGGGGAGAGGAGTGTGTCCTATGCCAAGGGAATAGCCTGTGCAAAAGCCCTGAGGTGAGAGAGAGCTTTGTGAGTTGGAAAACCTGAAAGTGTGGCTGGAACAGAAAAGGCCCATAATGCAGGGTATGTATAGCAGATGTTTCTTTACTACTCCTCTCCCAAAACTACCATCTTCTCTTCTGCACCTGTGATGTAAGTTTTATATTTGGCTCCACACAATAGAAAAATCCAAACAAAAGGTAAAAGTTTGGTTTTCTGATTCATAAATAGTCTGGAGGTAACCACTCTGGGCTGTTTTGGCAGCTGCAGGAAGCCCTTAGCGACCCAAGAGCCTTCCAGCTTTCCACTCTGCCATTTTGAAGGAGTGACCCTTGTCCTCATGATCCCATATGGCTGCCAGAGCTGTAGTCATCACATCCAAGTTCCAGGCAGCAGGAGAGAAGATAGGAAGCAGAAGAGTTTCCACTTGCTTTACATCTCATTGACCAGAATTTATTCACACAGCCTCATCTAGCTGCAAGGGAGGTTGGGAAATAGTTGTTATTCTGAGTGGTGAAGCTCCCAGGTCAAAATTCCAGGAGTTCCATTACTAATGAATGGGAGACTGGCTGTCAGGAGACAGAATTACAGAGGTGCGTCTGAGCTTCTCACAGAGCTGGCCTCTGCCCTCCCCTCCTGCAGACCCTGCTGAAGGTAATATATGTGGAGAATGACATCCAGCACCTGCAGGACACGGCACACTTCCCAGACCGGGGGAGCGAGAGCGGGGCACCTCTGGACGTGAAAGCCGGCGTGCGGGTCATGCAGGTCAGTCCTGACGGCCAGCACTTGGCTTCAGGCGACCGAAGCGGAAATCTGAGGCAAGTGAGCCCTGGCTGGGGTCTGGTGCACACTCGCCACTCGGGCTCGGGTACTCGGGGCGCTGGGGGGAGCCCAGCCTTGACACCTCCCGTGACCATTGGAAGTGAGGCACTGTGAGTAGCAATCTGGTAACCAGACAGCCCTGGGAGCTTAAGCCGAGAAAGGGCTTCTGGAAGGGCTGAGGTCAGCATAGCTACCAGGGCCTCAGCAGCTGGGACATGCGAACTTTGCCTACAGAGTGGACAGGCAATCTTGTATGACCCTGGGGAAGGGTGACACTTTCACCAGCCACGTGGTACCACGGCTGAACCGTCAGAGAGGATGCCAGCTTGGGGTTCCTGGTGGCCCGGGGAGAGGAGCCAGGAGGATGGGACACTTGAGCACTCAGGCTGCTTACCCACACTGCAGAGGTTTGTCAAGATGTTAACAGCCCAGCAGGTGGTGACAGAATATGAACCCTGTCACAAGGACAAGTTTAAGATGATGAAGGACAGCTGTGACCTGGGTGCGGGGGCTGCTGGGGACTGGAAGGGACTGGGGGGAACTGGAGAGCACATGCCCCATAAAGGGGCAGCCGCCACGCAGCACCAGCAGTGCAGGCTCCAAGTTGCTGTATCTTCCCATTGTCCAAGAAGAACAGCAAGTGCAGATTGTTTTTTCTGTGAAACTCTGGTTTTTAAATGCCGACAGCTGTTTTTTTTTTTTTTTTTTTTTTTAAAAAACTTACACAAATTTTTTTGTTTATTCCTCAAAATAACCTTATGAGGCAGGTATTTTTTTTTTTTTTTCTTTTTTTAAGATTTTATTTATTTATTTTTTCCCCCCAAAGCCCCAGTAGGTAGTTGTGTGTCATAGCTGCACATCTTTCTAGTTGCCAACAGCTGTTTTGATATCAGTCGCTGCATGAGGCAAATGAAGGTGTCGGTGGGCGGCGCACACTGATGGCGCTCTGCCCTGAGTGCAGAGGCAGTGACAGGAGCTCACATGGGGTAGCACTCTCCCCCTGCCGGCCACTGGCCTGGGTGCTGTGTCGACCGACTCAGTCCTCTCCCCGACCCTCGGATGTCAGCGCTGTTACTAGCTCCTTTCAGGGGGATGACTGAACCGCCCCGGTGGTGCAAGCGGTTGGGTGCGCGCGCTCCGCTCTGGCGGCCCGGGGTTCGCCAGTTCGGATCCCGGAGGCGCACCGACACACCGCTTGGCAGGCCATGCTGTGGCGGCATCCCATATAAAGTAGAGGAAGATGGGCATGGATGTTGGCCCGGGGCCGGTCTTTCTCAGCAAAAAGAGGAGGATTGGCAGGTGTTAGCGCAGGGCTGATCTCCTCAAAAAGAAAAAAGAAAAAAAAAAGGGAGAGGGGGTGACTGAGGCAAGAGAGGCCAAGGGGCTAGGCTAAGATCACACAGGAAGAGAGTAGAGGAGCTGGGATGACTGTTTCTTATTTCGGTCCTGGCTGACCTGTTGACTCCTTGATTTCATTTGGAGAGAATGTGAAGAAAGTCTAGATTAGAGACTCTTTAAGAGAGAGATTCGAATCAAATGTTCCCACTCGTAGGTCCTATCCTTGAGGATGACCTCTGACCCCTGATCCTGCCCCGCCTCCAGGGACCACCCCTGATACAGCCCAGCCGCTAACCCCTGTTTCCCCAGAGGACTGTCATAGATCTGGCCCATGGAACCACAGGGACTGGGTGCCCACTGAGGTGCTCCCATCCTTGGCACTGCTTCCTTCAAGATGGCAGGTTTCTAGATGAGAAGAGCGGTGGGGCATCTCTAGACTAGTTGGCCAGGGTAGGGGGTTCTCTGTGCCACCTCTCTGGCTGCTCTGGGCTTTTCTAGCAGTGGCAGAGGCCTGGAGTTCGGGGGTGGGGCTCCGGGCAGGGTACAGCAGGCGGTGTGTGTCTCCCAGGATCCACGAGCTGCACTTCATGGATGAGCTGGTCAAGGTGGAGGCCCACGATGCTGAGGTGCTGTGCCTGGAGTACTCCAAGCCTGAGACGGGTGAGCCCACGCAGGGTGGTGGCAGGGCAGCGGCCTGCCCAGCAGGGCCGCAGAGAGGGGTAGTTGGTGTCTGGTGAGGCTGTGAATGACAGCTGGGAGTCCTGTGTTTAATAAGCGCCCCTGTCGCTGGACCCTGGGACCAGGGTGGCTGGGGCTGCAGAAAGCAAGACATGCAGGCAGGACCCAGCTTGACTTGCTTTCCCTGGTCCCCAGCACCCCAACAGCGCTCCGGCTAAAGAGGTGCATGTTGACTGAGAGAGTGTGAATGAGCTCGTCCTCTACTGGAGACGATAGATAGTTAAACGTAATTATTTTGAAAAAGTTTGATGCCTACAGAAAAATTGCAAGAGTTTTGTAATGAATACCTGCATCCCCTTCACCCAGATTCCCCGAGTTTTTTCTTTTCACTCCTGTCTGACCCTGGACGGTATGTCTGACTTTATCTGCTTCCCCCCTCCATCTCTCTCTGTGTTTGCACACACACCCGTATAATAAAATAGTAGTGCAGACAGTATTTTTTTCTTTTGCTGAACTCTTTGAGAGCGAGTTGCAGGCGTGATGCCCTTTCCCCTTAGTGCCTGTGTGAGCATTTCCTAGGGGCGAGGACATCGTTTACATGACCGCGGTGCACCTACCAAATACTGTCGTTGTCTCGTGGTCCTTATTCCGGTTTTGCCAGTGGTCCTGCTTCGTCCTTGATAGCACATTTGTCTTTCCAGTCCAGGTTCACACTTTAATTGTCGTGGCTTTTTTGTCACCTTTATTCTGGAACATTTCCACAGCCTTAAGTTGTCTTTATGACTTTGGTGTTCTGCAGAGTATAGACCAGTCATTTTACAGAATTTCCTTCAATTGGGTTTGTCTGTTTTCCTCACAGTTTGATTCCGACGATACATTTTTGGCAGGACTGGACTATAGGTGGAGTTGTGCCCTATATGTTAACGATCTTCTCATGCTCCTTTCTTTCTTCCTCCCCCTGCACCCTCTGCCCCACCAGATTTTCTTTAAACCTCTCTTCATTCAGGACACCCTTCCTGAGCTCCCCTTCATCTCAGGTCATGTGTCAGGCCTCAGACACGCCAGGTGACCAGGGTAGGCCCTGTCGCAGGGGCCAGCAAGGAGGTCCAGTGGCAGAAGGAAGCCTGGCAGCAGGTCGTGAATGGGGCCTGGACGAGGCCCACGGAGCCAGAGCTCAGAATGAGGGCCACTATTCGGGAGGCTGAGAGTGGGCAGGGCCTCACGTGACAGGCCAGGGAGTCGGACTGGATGGGAAGGAGTGCTGGGCTCGGCTAGAATGTCTGCTGTGGGGGCGAGTGGAGGAGCGCCCTGTGTCCCTCGAGGTTCATTCTCCCTGAACTGGTGACGTGGGACGTGAAACGCCAGGGTTTGGGGGCTCTGGGGAAAGACTACACAGAGCGGGGGAGTGGCCCCTTTCTGGGTTGGGGCAAGTTGGCTGCAGTTATGGAACCAAAGACCCCTTCAAGGTCTGGGAAGCTCGGTCATGCTGCTCTCGGGAGGCCCGGGCATCAAGTGGCCTCCTGGGACCCCAGGCCCACCCTCTCCACTCACAGGGCTGACCCTGCTGGCCTCAGCCAGTCGGGACCGACTGATCCACGTGCTGAACGTGGAGAAGAACTACAACCTGGAGCAGACCCTGGATGACCACTCCTCCTCCATCACAGCCATCAAGTTCGCCGGTGAGCCTGCCTTCTGCTGCCTGCGCCTTGGTAGACGGGCCCCTTCGGCTGCAAGTAACAGCAAAAACTCGCGTAAACAAAAAGGGGAGAAGCGAGCTCTGGATTCAGGCACAGCTGGATCCAAAGGGTGATTTTTTAAAAATTGCCAGGACCCTCTCCCTCTGTCAGCTGTGCCTTTCTCTGGTGGGCACGACCTTGGTTGTCTCTCTGCCACTGGAAAGAGAGTCCCCCTCTTTCTATCAGTTTTGGCAGAAATTGGGAGCTGACTTTCCTTGTGCTGGCTTGAGGCACCTGCTCTTTCCAGAACAGTTGTTGTTTCCAGGGCTGGGGTGTTCTCTTGGGCCAGATCTGACTCACGTGCCCCCAGCCCCCACCTACCTCCACCCTGATCCAGGGGGACTGGCATTAGGCGAGTGCTGATCCCCGAAAGGAAATCAGGCTGCCAATCCTGTGAGAAGGCGTGATGGGCGCTGGTGACTTGGGCAGAAAGATAGGTGACAGCGACAATTGCTGGAGGCTAATTCTGTGCTGGACAATGGTCCTTGCTCCGTCCTGGGAGTTACCCCCTTCCCTGCCCCATTTAACACCCAGACTCACTCAGCCAATGGGTACAGGCCTCGGATCCTTCCTAAGCCTGTCCTTCTCCATGCTCAACCAGGAAAGCGAAGGGATTCTTCCAATTCTGGAAAGATTCAGTATGGAGATCCCTGGCCCTCAGGGATTCCAGGGGAAGGGAAGGCAGGCCCTGTGGGGTTTAACTGATCAGAACCCAAGAACATGTTCAAAACTATGTTCAAGAAGAATCTGCTCTTGGAGAGAATGCATCTGTGTACCATGTACTCTATGTAAGTTCTTGACTATGAAGAATGAGAGTGTATTGTTCTTCCTTGGTCTTCCCCACTTTCTGCCCTGCCTCTCTCCAGCTAAGGTGAGAGGGAGCTGGGCAAAAACAGGTTCACTGTGTTTGATATGTCTTGATGAAAACCTAACAAAAGCTGATCAGCTCAGACTTCTCAGTCGTCCTTAAAAAACTGTTCAGACCATCGCCCTCCATGGGACAGAGGTCATTAGAGTAAGTCAGTGGATCTAGCAGTGACCTCACCTTTGCTGAAAGGTCTCGATCCAGGAGAGGTAATGGCTGGCCAAGGGGGTGGATCTTTAAGGCCACCTTCGGAAGGGTGTGGGCCTTCATAGAGCCCCAGCCGGTCTGAAAGGATGCAGTTCCTGTGTGCCCTGCTCCAGCCGGGCTGGCTCATCTGGGAGTTATGCTCAAAACATTGATGGTACAAACTGGGCCCCAGCCAGTCGGAACCTGACTGAAGCTACCCTGCTAAAGAAGGATTCAGTCTTTTCACAGTTTTCTCTGAAACATGTATCCAAACAAGTGACTACAGTATCTGTGTAGTTTACAGAACGACACAGTGAACATCCACCTCAAGTCGGCAGGGATGAACTAGGACGCCCGTTGTTTGTGGCCAGTGACTGTTTTGATTGCTCGTGGTCCTAACATTGCTCAATACTTGGGCTCACCACCAAGGTTAAGAAGCGTAACATTACCAGTAGCTTCAGGCCCTCTCAGTCCCTCCCAGGTCACACTCACCCCACACAGGGCTCACTCCCTCCGGGAGCTGGTGACTCCTGCTTGAGTAACATCTTAACCTGTATGTCAGGCCCGGGCCCTCTCACATGTCCTGTCGTGAAGGAGCAGCATCTTTGGTACTAAGGCTCTCAATGTTTTCTGTCTGTTCTGTCTCCTCATCCTCAACACAACTCGGAGGGATTCGTGCTGTTATTAGTCGTCTTCTATAAAGAAAGAAGAAGAAGAAAAGCAAGAACACTGATAATGTTTACCAGGTGGCAGCCGATGTTCCAAGGCCTTCACGCAACTTCACGGGCGGGGGCTGTTGTAGGCCCATTGTACAGACAGGGAGCTGAGGCAGGGAGAGGAAGCAGGGGCTCAGAGCACGGTGTTTAACCAGAGAATGTCCGGGGTCAGTCCTGGCCCTGTCCTGACTCTCTCCTCCCCGGGACAAGGACTCTGTGGCTCTGAGCCCCTGGGTTCACATTTGTAGGATGGAGTGGCTAGTGAGCAGTCAGGAAGGGAGGCACATGTGGCACGGGGCCTGGCCTGAGGTCTGTGGGGATGCTGTGATTGTTCTCGATGGCATGAGTCTCCCAGTGGTCTGCCTGTCTCCACCTGCTCCCTGCCTCAGTCCCACCTTCACTCTGCTGCGCGAGTCACATTTCCAAATCCCAGATTACGTGTGGTGCCCCTTCTTTGTCCCTGGCTTTTGTTTCCCTTTCTGCCCTTGCTCTGCAGAGGCCTGCCTTGCCCGCTGCTCCATCTGCGCCCCTTCACACACACAGCTCACATCCCACAGAGTCCTGTCTGCACCCAGCACCCACCTCCCTGAGCCCCAGCAGATTTCCCTTGCAGTGGAGTTCCCTAGCTAGGATCCCTGACCCTAGTCAGGCCCAGCGGTAGCCCACCCCTGTGCTGCTTCCTCCTCCGCCAGGCAACAGAGACATCCAGATGATCAGCTGTGGGGCAGACAAGAGCATCTACTTTCGCAGTGCCCAGCAGGTAGAGTGGGGGGGCCTCTTGGAGGGGTGGGTAGGGGGCTTGTCAGGGGTGTCCTCTGAAGGCCCTGCCTGCCCTGCCAGACCTCAGATGGACTACACTTTGTCCGTACCCACCATGTGGCAGAGAAGACCACCTTGTATGACATGGACATCGACATCACCCAGAAGTACGTGGCTGTGGCCTGCCAGGACCGCAATGTGAGGTGAGGAGCTGGCCTGGGCTGGTTTCTGAGTGAGGCCTGGATGGGACCTAGTTGGGTCTGTCTGCTCCTGAGCTGTCTGCTTTCTTCCCCCTACTCATCTGGTCCTCAGATGAGGTCCTCAGAAGAGGGACCCAGCTGGTGTTTCTTAGGAGCTGTGCTTACCCAGGCCTAGCCACCAGGTCAGCAGAGGGTTCCTCTTGGCCCCTCTGGGAGCCTGTGTGGGGCACCTGAGAGATGTTGATGTGGCTCATAAACCCATTATTCACCAGCATTCCGTGAGCACCTGTCTGGGATGGACACAGCTAGGAATTAGAGGCCATGGGATCTCATTCCCTAGTACAGCATTTCAGTCCAGGCATTGGATGGGGGACAAGAGGTAGCAGAGGGCTTCCAGGGGAGAGGAGGGTGGCAGGTAAGGCTGGAATCAGAGGTTGGAGGGGTGGGCGGCAGGGCAGTGTTGGCCACAATATGTTCCCACCTCCCCAGGGTCTACAACACTGTGAACGGGAAGCAGAAGAAGTGCTATAAGGGCTCCCAGGGTGACGAAGGGTCCCTGCTGAAGGTGAGGAACTGGGGCCCCAGGGTGAAAACCACACACACCCGCCCTGTCTGTCTGCTGCCCTGATGGGCCACCTGAGCCCTGTGGCCTCCTTGGCGCTCCACCAAGGATCCCATGCTGCCAGTACCCACTCAGACCTGGCTGACGAAGGGTGCTTGGGAGCTGGGGGCAGCCCCGACTGCTCTACCTTCATTTACTGAGCCCTTCCCCAAGTGGGGACAGTTAAGTGGTTTCCATTTTGAGTGACAACGGAGTGTGGTGGGAAGAATCAGAGAGGCCTGGGCTCCCTCACCAGGTTTGCCCCCTGCCTGTGTTACCCAGGACAGGTGGGGACCTTCTCAGAGCCACTGGACTAGGGGAGCTGTTGGGAGTTCAGGCTCCACGGTCAGACCCCCTCACAGCTCTGCCTCAGGCTGACTGTGACGTTGGGGGAGCATCATGTACTCTGAAGCCTGTTTCATCATCTGTAAAATGCAAATAAAAAGAGCCTCTATCATAGGATTGTTCTGCGGAGGCCGTAAGTTCACACAGACACAGTGCTTAGCCCGGGGCCTAGCTGCCGTCAGTACCAGTGTTGTGTTTGTTAGTTTCTTCACCTGCTAAGTGGAAGCAGGCGTTCCTACCCTACCAGGGCGTGTGTCGGGAGGGCTACCTGGGATGAGTCCACGTGTCAAGGGTCCAGCATGAGGCAGGCCCTCAGTCAGTGGGGGCTGTGAGGTTTGACCCAGGCTGCCTGATGGGGAAGAAGCAGGCAGCCCAAGTGTCATGTGGGTCCTCTTCTCTGCAGGTCCACGTGGACCCCTCGGGCACCTTCCTGGCCACAAGCTGCTCTGACAAAAGCATCTCTGTGATTGACTTTTACTCGGGCGAGTGTGTTGCCAAGATGTTTGGCCATTCAGGTGGGTGTGCCTCCCCACTCAGGACACCTCGCCACCCACCCGCCCCTCCCAGCCTCTGACTCAGAAGGCCAACACAGCTTCTCTGCCCTGCTTGCAGAAATCGTCACTGGCATGAAGTTCACCTACGACTGTCGTCACTTGATCACAGTGTCCGGAGACAGGTGGGAGAGCCTGGAGGCTGCCCAGGCTGGGCCTCCCTCTGGGAGCGGGGGGACCTATCTTATGGGGAGGGCTGGTGCTCTGACACCCTGCCTGTGCAGAGAGCTCCTCCGAGCATTTGGCTTACTCTCTCCTTGGACAGCGTGCACCTTAGTGTCCCAGCCCTGAGTTCAAATCCCAGATCTGCCAGGTATTTACTTGTGACCCTGAGCAGGTCATTTCCTCTCTCTGAGCCTCAGTTTGCTCCTCTGTAAAAGAGATACAGCATCATCTACCTTGGAAAAATGTATGGTGAGAATCAAATGAGATGACGTGCATAAAGTCCTTAGAATGTGGTTGGTGCCTGAGGGAGTCCCTTTGTCGCTCCCTTCGATTTACTACAGTCCTTCCTCACAGCCCCCTTCCTCGGGTCATGAGGCCTTCAGAGCAGGCCCAGGTTTGCTGGGATGCCCTGGGCCCACCCAGGGTGTAGATCTGACATGGTCCGGGGACCCTGCACTAAGCTGATGGGGTGCATTTTCCGGGAGGGGCCAAGGAATGGGGGTCTGGGCCGTGGTGACCTGGTGGCTCCAGGGTTGGATGGCTCCCACATTCACTGTTCCTCCCCTTCCGGACCTTTCCTTGGCCTCTGCAGCTGCGTGTTCATCTGGCACCTGGGCCCGGAGCTCACCAACTGCATGAAGCAGCACTTGCTGGAGATTGACCGCCGGGAGCAACAGCAGCAGAACATGAAGGATGGGACGTGGAGCAGCCACCCCAGGTCCTGAAAGCCACCTGTCCGTCCCCCAGAGGAAGGTCTTCCTGCCCTGGGCCCCTCTGAGGGGCCCACTGAGGAGTGATGCTAGGGACGTAGCCATGGCCAAGACAGCCCTGGCCCTGTCCTTTGTGTGCTAGTCGGGGAGACGGACTTTGAGTACAAAGTTAGGAGAATACTTACAAGAAGGGTTTTGAAGTGGAAACGCTCCAAGAGCCTGTGAGCACTGTGATGGGGAAGCCCGTCCCCTGTGGGGACCAGAGGAGCCCCGACCCAGCCCACGATAGGGCCGGAGGAGGTCGGGGAGGGGTCCAGGGGAGCTGAGATGTCTAAGTGAAAGTTACTGCTTTACCTATTGCTTTGAGTCTTCTGAACATATTTCTTTAAAGTCTTTATGCTGCAAGACCAGTTTTATTTGGAGTGAATTCATGTTCTAGTTTTTGATTTGGAGGTCTCAGTTTGAGAGGGAGGTTCTGGGTTTTTCCTTTCTCCTGCCCATGGAGCTGTCCCTGCCTGTCTGTCTTGAGGCATTGCTGTTGCCTCCCCGCAGGGACCAGACCTTGACTCGGGCCACCTGGTTTTGAGGTCACATCCCACCCGGGGGCTGCAGTGGGGTCCTGGCCCAAGTGCTCACCTTGTGTCGAGCTTGTTTTAGTCTCCTGTACTCCAAAGGAGCTAAAGTCTCATTGCTACCCCCCACTTCCAGAACAGACCCCAGCAGCTCAGGACTGAAGCCCCACCATCTGCTTTGCTTCCTGTCCCATTGTTGTGGCCCTTGGAGAGTATGCCTTATTTTTTGAGTCCAGCCTTTGTTATATCTCATTTATTGTGGTGATGTTTCTAGTAGAGTGGGTAGGGCAGGTGAGACCTCCCAGGATCATCTTGACCAGAAGCCAGAATATGTTCATACGGATCCTAACCCAGGGCCTGGCTCCAGGCAGGTCACCCCCACCCCACCCCATTTGCCTATTTCTCTCCTTGCCATCCTCATTTCTGGTTTCAGGCAGGAGACCTATGCGTCCATGCCCAGCGAGCCTTGCTCCCTGATCCCTGGAGAGCAGATGGAGGATGAGCTGGAAGATGAGTGTGAACCTGAAGAGTTGCTGAAGACACCATCCAAAGAGAGCTTGGATTCAGGTGGGGAAGGGACCCTGTTTTGAGCTCTGTCACTGTAGGCATCATTGCTGGGGTTTGCCCACTACTTTGTTTTCAGGGCCTTGCACATATTGAAGCTCAATAGTCGTATCAGTCAGGACTCTCTCAGTGTAGTAGTAGCCAGACTCTCATTGGCTTAAGCTGGAAAGAGAATTTATTGGTTCCTGTAACTGAAAATTTGAGAGTACTGGCTTCAGGCATAGCCGGATCTAGATAGCCAGGTGATGTTAAAGAAATAGATTTTTCTCCATCTCTTGGCTCTCCTTTTCTCCATTTTGGCTTTGCTCTCAGGCTGTTTCTCCCTTTACTGGGGGCAAAGATTCCCCCAGCAGCTCTAGGTTAAAAGACTCTGTAGAGAAGAGGGCACCTCTTTCCCAATAGCTCAAGCAAAGTCCTGGGGTCGTGATTTGTGTTCCCGGTGTGAGTCATGTGCCCATTCCTGAGCCAGTTGCTGTGATTGGCCAGGCCTGAGTCATGTGGTCGTCCCTGTGGGCAGAGGCTATGGTCAGCTCCACTCAAACCACCTGCCCTCCACCTGGGAAAAGCAGGGTCCAGTTAACCAGAAGACACAACAGATTCTGTTGTTCAGGCAAAAGGGAGAGTAGTGGCTCAGTGACTATAATAGGCCAGGCTCTCTATACATTTCCACCCCTCTGCGTATCGCCTTGGCTTAGGCCCTCATGGTTACAAGATGGCTGCTGAAGTTCCAGGCATCGGGGACGTGGTTGAAGAGGACAGTCCCTCCTGGACTCTCCTTTAGAGAGGAAGCTCTTTCCCAGAAGCCCCTGGCAGGCTTCTCTCAGGTCCACAGGCCATGATTGCTCCAGCCGTGAGAGAAGCTGGAAACAGTGACCAGCATGGGTGCTTTTAGTGGGAATGGTGGTCTCTGCCGACAAGGGGCAACAGCAGGGACCGAGTGGATGGCTGATTAGGAGGTAACAGCAATATGAGAATTCAGCCTTGGAAAAAACTCAGAGAGTAAGCTAATTTTCTTTGTCACCACCCTCACACCTGACCCAGTGTCCTCTCCAGGGTGGCAGTTCACTATGAATCCTTACAGGCCTTTTCCTGAACATTCATGTGCATATGTACATATCCACAGGAAACGTCATATTTATATCCATAAAGTGTATTATCCTGTGGATACTGTTTTGTGTCTCTCCTCTCATGAGTATCTTATCGCCCTGTACATTGGTGGGTACAAAGCCGAGGTCTGCCTCTTTTAACCAGCAGCATAGGAGGGTCCTTTATGTTAGTCCCTTCTGGATGACGCTTAGGTGTTTTCTAACTTTACACCGCTGGGAACGAGGCTGTGCTGACCCTCCTCGTCGGGCACATAGGAGAGTGTTCCTCCAGGACGGAGGCTGAGGAGCAGCCCTGCTGGGTCCCGGGTTTAGTACACTTGTTAATTTAAAAGAGAACCCCAAGGGCCCTCCAAATCCAGTTACTGTCCACCCCGCAGCGGGGTGCGTTAAGCCCTCCGCTCCCCCACATTGTTGCCAGCATTTGATCATATGAAGTTTTAATTTGGGTCAATCTTAGGGGTAAAACATTATGTCCCATTGTGTGGATTTGTATTTCCCTGACAGTTAGCGAGGTCGAGCATCTTTGGGTATGCCCAGTGGTTCCTGAAGCGCCTCTTTGGAGAACTGCCTGTGTGTGTGTGTTGCCCATTGGTCTGTTGGGTTGTTTATTCTCTTTTCCTGAATTCATGTGTGTCTCCAGATCCTCAGTGCCTGCTGACCAACGGCAAGCTGCCACTCTGGGCAAAGCGGCTGGTGAGTCTGCCCAGAGAGCGGGACTCCTGGGGCTGGCAAAGCAGGGGGCCCTCCTCCGTGCTCTTCTCTCTTCCGGAAGTTCTTTTCCATCTCCTCGTCTCTCCTTTCCCTCCTTTCTCCTTTCCCTTTCCTCCTTTCTTCATCGCCCTTCCAATCTCGGCTTAGACAGCCTTTCCTTCATGCCACACGTATTCACTGAGCCCCTCTCCCATGCCAGGCCTTGTTCTGGCCGTTAGACACAGCAATGAGCAGGGCAGACAAAGTCTCCTAGTGTGGGAGATGGACACTATCCACATTAAATGGGTAAATTGTACAGTATTTGGGGAGCTGATAAGGGCTCTGGAGGAAAAAAAGTTGAGAAGGAAAACCAGGAGCGTTGGGGGAGGGATGACAATTTTTGGGTAAATAGAAAGGCCTCACTGAGAAGACGATGTCTGAGCAGAGTGGAACCAACTGAGAAATGCAGATTCTGGGAAAGAACTTTCCAGGCAGAGAGAACCGTCCGCGAGGGCAAAGGCCATGAGGCAGGACTGTGCTGAGCATGCTCAAGGAAGGGCAGGGAGGCCCAGGTGCCTGGGTTGAGGGTGAGTAAGGGGCAGAGTGGGAGGAAGGGGCTCAGATACGACAGGAAAGGCCAGATGGTGTGGGCCGTGCTGTGCCCCTTGACGCTCCTTGGTGTCCTCCCCAGCCTAGCTTTTCTCCGTGCACCAAGTGAGAGGGAGACGACAGAGCGCTCTGAGCCCAGCAAGGCTGTGATCTGACTCAGGTGTTAACCCTGTGGCTGCCTGTGGGAAACCAACTCCTAGGGGCAAGCAGGGGACCAGGGAGGAGGCTGCTGTGTGATCCAGGCAGGAGAGCTTGGAGGCTGGACCAGGGGGAAGAAATGGTTGGATTCTGGGTGGATTTTGAAGATAGAGCCAAACAATTGGATGTGAGGGAGAGAGGGACCAAGATGAAGTTAAGATTGAATGATTATTAACTTGGCGGAGGGGCGGGGTAGGAGCTGGCGGGTTCGAAGCTGGCTCCGGAATCCTAAACCCTAGGTTGGAGTGTTTATTTCTAGAACAATGTCAGACCTCAGATCAGAGCCTAAATGTCAACAACTCAGGGAAATCCTCCCTGCCATCACCTTCCCTGCAGACCAGGTGAGGGCATCTGGGTCTGCTCTCTCCGGCCCCCATGCTTCCCCTTCAGTGCGTATTACAGTTGGAGTTACCTTCAGCAGATAGCCACAGCACAGTCACTCTGTGCGGGCTCTGTTCTGAGTCTCTTATATGTATTATCATCTCATTTAATCTTCACTGAGGTAGGGGCTTTTCATATCTCCATTTCACAGATAGGGAAACTGAGGCCCAAGGAAGTTAAGTAACTTGTCCAGGGTCACACAGCTAGGAATTAGAGGCCGTGGGAGCGACCCTAGGCAGGCTGGCTCCAGAGCCTGAGTTCTCAAACACCCACCCTCCACTGTCTGTCAAGCAGCAGTCTTGGTAGGAGGTAGGGTGGGCAGGACTGGGGTGGGAGGAGAGGGGCCATATCTTGGATGTGTTTGGATGGTAGAACTGACAGGGTTGGCTGAAGAAATCCAATGTGGAGTATGAGGGACAGTAAGAGAAGAAGGGAGGGGAGTTCAAGGTTCGGGGCCTAAGCACCTGGAGAGAATAACTGAGACAGGGAAGGCTTTCAGACGAGTGGGTTTGGGGGACAATGAGGAGTTGTTGTCAACACGTCCACTTTGAAGTGTCACCGAACATCCATGTGGAGAGGTGGAGCAGTTGCACATGCACTTCTGAAGTTGAAGGGCAAGGGTCAGGCTGGAGATCTCTAGCTGGAAGTTGTTTCTGCGTGGTGGTTAAGGCCAGGAGACTAGATGAGGTCCGTGCAGTGTCCTTGGCCCCCATTGGAGGTGGTGAACACTTTGCTGGCAGCCTGACCGTCCCTTGTCACCCTCAGCTAGGAGATGACGATGATGTGGTGGATGGCTCGGCCTTCCACGCCAGACGCAGCTACCAGCCGCATGGCCGCTGGGCGGAGCGGGCTGACCAGGAGCCCCTCAAGACCATCCTGGACGCCCGGGACCTGGGTTGCTACTTTACACCCATGAAGCCGGAGAGCCTGGAGGACTCCCTTCTGGATACAGTGGAGCTGCAGAGCCCGGCGGGCCTGCTGAGTGAGGTACGGACTGCCCGCCCAGCCCGGCCTGCACCCTCTGCACCACCACTGCCTGCCCAGGACTTGGGGCCTCAGCATCTCGTTTTGAAGATAAGGCTGATTATCCTACTCCAGGGTGCAGGAGGATTACGTGAGATGGTGGGGGGCAGGAGGGCACACCCAGGGCCTCGTGCAGACCCAGAGTCTGGGGGGGTCACCTGGGGGTTAAGAGCTTGGACCTGAGAGTGAGCCTGGGCCTGAGTGCGGGGCATTGAGCAGGTGGAGCCCTGGCCCTATCCCTTCCCGACTGTGACTTGCAGCAAGGCGTGCCTCTCTGGGCTTCAGCTTTCCAAAAAATGGTCATTAAAGAAAGATAACCAAGAAGAAAAGATTTCTAAAAATTGGTCATAAAAGGAAAGCGCTAAGAAGGCTTTTACAGGAATCCAGTGCCAAGACAGGGCCTGGGCACTTAGAGGTGCTGAAACAACGTTAGCACTTATTCTCTTATTTTCCAAACAAAATTCTTTTTTTGTTCTGTTGTGTAAGCCTTCTTTCTGTTGTGGCATAATGTACATACAGTTATGTGCACACGTCTTAGGTACACAGCTTGATGAGTTGTTACTGATGTATAGCCTGTGTAGCCACCAGCCAGGTCTAGATGTAGACATTTTCTATCTCCTGGAAGACCCCCGTGTGCCCCTCCCCATCAGCACCCCCACCAAGGTGACCAGCGTTCTGACCTCTCTCCCCGTGGGTTGGACGGCCTGGTCTTGAACTTCGTATGAATGACTCTTAGAGGGTAGGAGCTGGCCCTCTTCCTTGTCTGTGAAGGGGCCGATGACGACGCGGGGGGAGCACAGAATGCGCTCATGATGAGCAAAGCCCTCGGCCCTGGCCCCAGCTCACAGTGAGCGTCCACAGGGGGGCCGCTGTCACCACTGATATCCTCACCGCCACCGTCGGTGTCTCCAGAACACCTGGCGGTTTGTGAGGGCCCTGGCTGCCGCAGCTGCCTCAGAAGGCCCTGCTCTCCTCCCCCCGCAGTCAGAGAGTCCCCGGGAGGATGGCTGCGGGCATCCTTCCTTCCTGCCCCTACAGAGGGAGTCCTCGGAGGCTAGTGAGCTCATCGTCTGCTCCCTGGAGGCGGAGGTGACGGTCACGGGGATGGACAGGTGGGTGTCCTTTGCACTAAGGGGAGACTTAGGTGGAAAGAGGAAGCCTCTGCTGATAGGCATGCCCTGAAAGAGCTGCTCTCTGCTCTCCCAGGGGGCCTGTGGGAGTTGGGGCAGAGGGGGTGAGGCCTGGATGGCCCAGGAGCCCAGCCCTGCAGCCTCAACTCAGCCTCCCGTTCCCTGGGTCCCGGGAGAGGTGCAGGAGCCTTTGGGGGGGCAGGAGAGGCGATGCAGTACTCCCAATCAGAGCAGGGTGCAGGTGCTGAGGGGTCCTGGGTGGGGCTGGTTGTTTCCTGACTGGTGTGTTCTCATCCCCTCACCCACCCCCATCGGCTCTGCAGTGAGGACTGCGCGAAGGAGCGGTTGGGGGAGCCTGGAGACCAGCAAGGCGAATCCTACCTCCAGGTCCCCTCCATCTTCTCAAAGGATCAGAGCCCACCTGAGGGTGAGTGAGGGGCAGCAGGGACCCTGCGGTTGTCTGTTCGTCTGACCAGGCCCCTTGGGCACTGATGGTGAGCTTCCTGAAGCTCAGTCTGTCACAGAGGTGGACATGGTCCCTGCTGTTACCTGATGATTCTGGAGCCCAGCTGCCCACCTGCGGGAGCCCAGCTTGGCCACTTCCTCCAAGTGTAACCTTGCTGGTCTGTAAAAATGGGAAGGCGGGTATGATCATCCACATTCTTCAGATGGGGGACTGAAGCCCAGAGAGCCTGAGTCACTTAACCTGACTCGCTCAGCAAGGGCCCGGCCCTGGGCTCCTGACCCGCCCTGCTCTGCTCCTCCAGACTCGGGGGAGTCAGAGGCCGACTTGGAGTGCACCTTTGCTGCCATCCACTCCTCCCCTCCACGGCCAGACCCCGACCCTCGATTTGACGTGACCGTGCCCCCCACACCAGGTGAGCAGGGGCCAGGCTCAGGGAAGGGCAGTGCATGCGCCTGGCTAAGGGATGGGCATCATACAGAACTGCAGGGCCCATGTTGGCCCTGCACTTGGTGCCCCCTGAGCCTCAGGGGGCCTAGAAGACAGAGCCATTAGTTTTTCTCTCATGGCCTGGTGGCAGCAGCGTGTGTGCTGGGCAAGTGCAGCCCTCTGCAGTGTTAAGTGTCTGGCGTCTTTGTCAGGGCGTCTGCCATGACTCATGGTGTTGAAGGTTCTCTCCTGCCCGCCCTGCCCCTGCCCCCCTCGCCTCTCCCCAGGATGCCCAGGGACTGCAGAAGAGTTGTCCCAGCCCGAAGTGCCAAGCATTTCCAACGGCTCCCTGCCCCAGACCCCTGAGCAGGAGAAATTCCTCCGCCACCACTTCGAGACGCTTACTGACGCCCCCCCTGAGGGTAGGGCCCTGCCCCTCTCTGAGCCCTGCCTGGGCGGGCCATCAGTGCTGGGCACGGTGTGGGCGTCTCTGGGCAGGGCTTCTCCTGGCCAGGCTGGTGAGCCTGGTGGGAGGGGATACGCTTTCTCTTAAGGACTGAGCTGCAGTTTCCTCTCCCTGCTCCACTTGCTCCCGGGCGTGTGTGGGGCTTTCTGAGGAGCTACCTGCCTGGGCCCAGGGCTGGTTGGCTGGAGGGCTTCTGAGGGCTCCCTTGGCATTCCCCCCCTAGAGCTCTTCCATGGATCCCTGAAGGACGTGAAGGCCTCTGAGGCCGAGGACTTCTTTAATCCCCGCCTGAGCATCTCGGCCCAGTTCCTCTCCCGCCTCCAGAACACATCCAGGTAGGAGCCAGTGAATTTGTGAGCCCCACCCCAGCTTGCAGCACTCTCTGTCCCCCCTGGGCAGGGCCGGGTCCCCTCAGGCACCCTCAGGGCAGCCATAACCACTGGTTTCCTCCCACAGGTTCACCCACCCCTGCCGTCCCCAGCTGCCCCTGCACCTCGGGAAGTCCCCGGAGGTCAAACCCACAGACCTCAGGGGGAGCCAGCCCAGAGCAGAGCCCCTGAGAGTGGGTTCTGGTTACGCCTCACCAGGCAGGACCAGCGTGAGTACTGGGGCTGCCTCCCTCGGGGCACAGGGCTGGGAGCCAGGAGGCCTGGTCCTCACCGCAGGGCTGTCCTTGCAGGTCCTTTCTGGGGGGAAGGCTGAGGAGCCCCTCGAGACCCTGGAGGCCTGGTGCCCACTGAGTGAGTGTCCCCATCCCCTGATGAACAGCCCTGGGCTTGTCAGCAAACAGCCCTGGTGCCCAGCTGAACCATGGGTGGGGATGGGCAGGGTCCACTCAGACCCCACAGCCGCCCTGGGGTGAGGCCCTGTCCATCGGCTCTGTGACTGGGTTGAGAGTGAGCCAGCTGCTTCCTTTACAGCCCCCTGCCTCACGGGCCTGCCGCCTTGTGTCCCCTCCTCCTCAGTGCTGCCCACAGACAGGAAGCCTCCGACACCCACAGCCCTACCCACTCCAGGCCTGGCTCAGGCTCTCGACATCCCCCCCACCCACTCCTATATGCAGGCCACTGCCAGCGCCCGTGCCAAGATGTCACGTAGCGTCTCCCTCGAGGACAGTGAGAGCCCTGTCCTGGCTGAGCTGGCCAGGCCCCTCCACAGGCCCTCGTCCATGGGGGAGCTGGTCTCCCTGGGCCAGGAGCTCCAGGCCATCACCACGGCCGCACCCAGTTCTGACAGTGAGGGCCAAGCGCCTGCCCTGCCCTCCTGGGGCAACCACGAGGCCCGGGCCAGCCTGAAACTGACCTTGTCGAGCGTCTGTGACAGGCTCTTGCTGCCTCCACCCCTGCTGGAGCCGCCCACCACGTGTGTCTGGTCCCAGGAGCCTGTGGCCACCCAGCCCGATGTCACTGTCACGACAGCCAGCTTCCTGGCCCCCAGCCCCAGGGATGGGAGCGCCCTGAGGCTCCACAACTCTACCTTTCTCCCAAGGCTTCTGGCCCCTGAGCCCATCAACACCCCTGCCCTCCCCAACAGTCCCCCACTTCCAGAGGCCAGGCCTGAGGCCTCTGGCAGCATCACCTCCCTCGTGGAGCCCACCCCTGGTGAGTACCACCCTTGGGACAAGGGATTGTCCCCTAAGCTCACCCCCTGTAACAGCTGGCTCAGCTCGAAAGGTGGGCACTTGACCTGGCCACAGGGTCTACGCTGTCCATTCATTCATTGACTTAAATATTCAGTGAGCACTTTGCATGTGTTGGGCTTTGTTCTAGGCCCTGGGGGCATGGGACGTGGTGGTAAACAAGACTACAGAGAATTGATACCTTAACTGGGGGAGATGCCTGGGCTAAATCTATGAGGAAAGTGCTCAGTATGTCCCCCAGTGACAGGTGCTCGGGAGAGGCATGAGAGAGGATTCAGGGCATGAGGAGTGGGGGCCGTGGCTGCCGATTAGACAGAATGGTGAGCAAAGGCTTCAGGGAGAAGGTGGCATCTGCACAGAGACCTGCAGGAGGGCGGGAAGGGAGTCTTGGGGACTGAGGCAAGTGTTTCAGGCAGAGGGACAACATTTGGGATCAGCCCAGGCAGCCTGGCTGCTCAGACCAGCGGGGAAGTCAAGGTGTCTTTCTCATTCCCTCCCCTCTGCCCCCAGATGCGCTCGGTCTACTTCAGGGCAGCGCTGGACACTGGGGGGAGCCCGGGGTGCCAGCTCCCCTTGAGCTGAGCAGTGTGGGGACCATTGTGCACAGACTGCAGACTACCTTCCAAGAAGCCCTGGACCTTTACCACCTGGTGAGCCAAGCCCCAGGGTCTGGGAAAGGGATGAGGGGCTCCCTGGGACTGCCTGGCCTGGGTGGCCCCAACAAGGTCGGCACCTCTTGCAGATGGTCTCCAGTGACCAGGTGAGCCCCGAGCAGCAGCAGGCACGGACCGAGCTGGCCTCTACCTTCCACTGGATCCACAGCCAGTTAGAGGCCAACGACTGGCTGGTTGGGAGCGATGTGGCCCCAGACCAGGCCCTGCCCAGCCCAGGTACCCCCTCGCCACCGACACTGTGCCCCCTGGCCGGCCCAGACTTGCGTGCCCTGCTGGAACACTACTCGGAGCTGCTGGTGCAGGCCGTGCGGAGGAAGGCACGGGGGGACTGAGTGCCAGCAGCCCTTCCACCACAGCCCTGCTACTTCTGAAGAAATCGGTATTTTAAGCAAATAAACGGACAGCTTGAAGGAATGGTTCCTGGTACCTGTCCTGGCGCATCCACAAAGCCCCCTTCAGTGGACACAGAGGGAGGGTGGAGAGCAGTGCTCTGGTGGACCAGCCCAGGGCACTCACATATGCCTGATGCCAGGCCCTGTTCCAGGACTCGGTCAACAGGACCAATGTTCCCAAGAAGTTTGGGAACTGCAGTAATGATGACCCCACCGCCTGGCTCCCACGTCGCCTGTCCCCACCCCCCTGAGCTGCTGTGGGGTCATGAGTGGTCCTTGACCAGTGGGCCCATACTGGATCCTGTGAGGTCCAGGGTTTTGTCTCCATCTGCAGCAGGGCAAACTGAGGAGAGACAAACAGGTCAGCCACTGGACAATCCAGGCAGCCTGCCCAGGCCACCAACAGCTGGGACCAGTAATTCCTTTCCCAGCAGGAGGATTGTGTTCAGCTTCAGCATCCTATGAGCTCCCAGCACTGGTACCAGCTTCCCCGGGCAGCAGGCATCTAGCCATGTGGCATGTCTGCTAAGAAGGCTACTCTTGTGACCACAAAAGCCCCCACTGTCCCAAGTCTCTATAAAATGGAAGCCAGCAGGGGCAGGGCCCCCTCCTAAAGCACAGTCCCACCACGCAGCCTGCTGTGGCCTGACCCCCACTCGCCTGTGCGTTCCTCTGCTCTGTGTGTTGGTCATGGCCCACCAGAAACAGGCTCAGAGAGATCCAGTGTCTTGCCCAGAGTCCCCTAGAACTGACACTCAAACCTAGGCTGGCCTGCTGGCAGAGCCAGGCCCTTCAACATGAGGACATGGCCCTCTGCTGCCTCTGGAAACACTGACACAACAGAACCAATCATGCAGTTGTTAAACACTCCTGCCGTTCCCCAGGTGCCGTCCCACGTTAGAGGTGGGGTGAGGAACAGGACAGGCAAGGCGTCTGCCCCTGTGGCATTCACCTTGTAGAGAGCAAAACACAGGACTGGAAACGGTAACTGTCTAACAACTGTAGGGAAACTGGGGAATGCAGTGTGTGGTCGAAGGGTCAGAGAAGGCCTTTCTGAGGTGACATTTGAGCTGAGGCTTGATAGAGGGCACAGGCCACATGGACATCTCGGGGACGCATCCAGGCAGACAACAGCCAGCACAGAGGCCTCATGGGGGGTCACAGGTACAGGTAAGGAATAGCAACAGAGCCAGGATGGCTGGAATGGAGTGAGCTAGGGGAAGAGGGAGGAGAGCGGGGGAGGGGGGAGTAAGGGGTCCCCCCCGACAGGGCCTTGTTGCTTCATGACATTTAATCCAAGAAATATTCACAACACAATTTTTTTTCCTAAATAAAATCCCTGATCTTGGTGTTTGGGGAGATGCCCAGTGGTGTTTGTTTCTCAAGACTCCCTCTCCCTGCCTTGGGGAGCCCAGATGGTCCAGGACTCCTAGGTGGCTGCACCTCTGTCAGGAGGCTCCCTGCCCAGGCACACAGGTCACCCCCGCAACACTGGAGCCGCACTCTCCCTGCCCCTGCCTAGCTTGGCCACAGTCACCTAAGATCCCTGAGGCAAGGTTCATTGTCCAGGCCCCTGGACACCCAGGGACCACCTTGGACCTCTGTCCTTCATGGAATTAACGCCTCCTCCCACCTTGTATCACAGCTAAGCCCTCGACTCCAAGTAGCAAACACCTGGCTTACCGGGGCTCAAGCTGTAGGGACGTTTGTTACTCTTGATTATGTTCCTGCTCTGTCACCCTCTGTGAGTCTGAATTTCGCCGTCTAGCTTAGGCCCTCACAGTTGCAACATGGCTGCTACAGCACCCAGCAACACATCCTCACCCAACCAGGAGCAAAGGCACGAAACAGGACAGCCGTCAGGATAGTGGGAAAAAGGTGCAAAGTCTTCCCAAACACTCCCCCTTTCCGAGCAGTGGCAGGGAACAGGAATGGAACTTGCTTTGATTTGCTTGAACCAACCATCTCGCTTGTCCTGGGCATGTTGCTGCTCAAACAAAATTGGGTTCTCTCAGCACAAAAGGTGGCTGGTAGAGAGGACCCGGCATGTCTGCCACTCGCCACTTCCTAATGCCGAGCTCTTCAGCCATGGAAGGACCAGACTTCTCTCCTTGAACTTCTCTCCTTCTCTCCGGCTGGTTAAAAAACTGCTGATGAACGTGTGTGCGGGAGGGTCCACTGGCAGGGTCCCAGCAGGAAGTAGACAGAATGCTCACCTGGGATAGTTCAGAGAGAGTTTAGTGAAGGGAGCATTTGCAAAGGAGTAGATAGGGCATAGGGAACTTACCCCCAGGACTCGAGGCACGAGGGAGCGAGCGTAGTGGAATCCAGAGGAGCACATCCTGCAGAGAGGGCTGCCCTGAGGGGAGCTGTGATGCTGGCAACCCCACCAGGAGGGAGTTGGGGGAATCCTCTTCTCCATCGTCTGCGGCGCTCCCCATTGACCAAACCCTGCTGGAAGCCAGAGGGCACGGGAAGCCCAGCTGCTGCTGCCCATCCAGGTCAGCCTCCCAGGACACGGAGCAGGGTGGAACAGGACGGAAAGGGGGCCTGGGGGCAAATGAAGATACGTAGCCCTAGATTTTTTCCCTGATGTGTTTTTTTTTTTTTTTTTTTTTTTTTTTTTTTTTTTTTTTTTAAAAATTTTATTTATTTATTTTTTCCCCCCAAAGCCCCAGTAGATAGTTGCATGTCATAGTTGCACATCCTTCTAGTTGCTGTATGTGGGACGCGGCCTCAGCATGGACGGAGAAGCGGTGCCTCGGGGCACGCCCGGGATCCGAACCCGGGCCGCCAGCAGCGGAGCGCGCTCACCCAACCGCTAAGCCATGGGGCTGGCCCCTATTTTATTTTATTTATTTATTTTTTCCCCCCAAAGCCCCAGCAGATAGTTGCATGTCATAGTTGCACATCCTTCTAGTTGCTGTATGTGGGATGCGGCCTCAGCATGGGCGGGAGAAGCGGTACGTCGGTGCGCGCCCGGGATCCCGGGATCCGATCCCGGGCCGCCAGCAGTGGAGCGCGCTCACTTAACCGCTAAGCCACCGGGCCAGCCCCCCTAATGTGTTTTCTGCAACAAGACAGGAACCAGTTGCTCAAGAGACATGGTGTTGGGGACATGCAGAACTGGGCACCTGAGAAGAAACAGAATATGGCTCCCCCTAACCCATTGGCCAGCTCCTTCTGTGCAACTGCAGGAGGCCCCTGCACTCCACGTGGGACAGCTCCTGGATACCGGGCTGCCAGACCTGTGCCGGGCACTCCAGTCACGGCTGCACGAAATCCAGCAATCGTGAGATGGAGATGCTTAAAACCCCATTTTACAGATGACTAGCCATGCGACCTCTCAAGACTTCCTACCACACCCCCTGCTGCATGCCAGACCCCATGCTAAGCATTCTCCCCACATGATCTCCATGGATCTTCGACACGAACCAGTGACAGGGAGACTCATTAGTCCAATTGTCTAGATGAAGAAACTGAGGCTCAGCAAGAAGTGACTTGCCCAGGTCCTGCAGAGATGAAGTGGCAAAGCCCTGGGCTGGCAGACTCTTGGCACTGCCTTCCTGGCTTCCTCAAGTGAGTCAGCAGGACTGACTCTCAGGGAATGTGAAGAAATGAAGAAATACTGCTTCTCTCACCACCAAGCCTTCATATAGACTGTTTCCTCTGCCGGGAACACCCTCTCCTTCCACCTGAAACCTCTTCTTCGTTCAGGGCTCACACCCCAGAAGTCGTCCCTGAGTCCTTTGGCTGGATCTGGAGCCTCTTCTGGGCCCCCTGAGCCCCCTGGTTTCCCCATCGCAGCCTGGCTCTCTCTGCCTGTGCTCCCCCATCACAGCCTTGGTCATTCAGGGCTATCAGTGGTGAGTTCCCCGTGGACTAAGATATGTGTTCATGTTCAGTGCTGAGCTGGGCCTGCCCTGTAGATGGAGCTCAGAAAATTGCTGCGTGAATAAATGAAAGTTAATTGCATGAGGAATGCTCAAAATCCTTAACCCCTGGTTAAGAGGCCAGACAATGACCAATCAAGAACACAGGCTGGCCAGAGTGCCAGGGTAGGGTCCTAGGAGCCCTTGGCTGGGTCAGATGACCCCTTTTAGTTCCTGGACTGTGGGAGAGTAGGGGAATAGTGTCCCAAGCAGTCACTAGAAGCTGAACTACTAACCAGTATTTTAGTGCCCACTACACCTGAACAGTGCTTCTGGCTGAAGTCAGCTCTGGGCATCTGCAGATCAGAGAGGTGGAGCCTCCTACTGAAGATGCACAGCCTGGATCCTCACTTTGCCCTTACCTATCAGACTCGGCTCTCCTTCTCTCCTCTGGAGCAAGACAATCACAGCTGCTCCCTCCCCTGCTTCCTCGGACAGCTGCTGTGATTTGAATAACTAAGCAGGCTGTTGGACATCCGGTGGTGACTGATTTGCCTGGCAAACAGACGCTCAGGCCCTTGCCCTGCTGGTACCCTGGGAAGACTCTCAGTCCCCCTGGGGTCTTTGTTTCCTGTCCCCACCTCCAAGAGCTCCCTAGTCTCCTGTCTAACCCTTGCTTGACCTCCTGGGAGTCCTAGCCCTTATGTGCCCCTGGAGGCTGGACAGTGCCCTTAGAAACGGCATAGGAGAAGGGGGAGGAACAGGGGACCCCAGGGCAGAAGTAACGAGCCAGCTACGTCTGCTGCTGGCCTGTCACGAAATTTGCATGGAGAGAATGAGGCTCCTGCATGGCTTCCCCTCCCTCCCACCTGGGCCAGTCAGACCCGGGGCTGAGGTCCGACAGCAGGCGGAGGAGCAGCCTGTGTGTGTGGAGCCATCTCCCCACTCCCGGAGGCGATGCCTCGTGCCTTCCTGGTCAGGAGTCGGCGTCCACAGCCACCCAACTGGGGCCACCTGCCTGACCAGCTCCGGGGAGACACCTATGTCCCAGGTGGGCCCCTCCCCAGGCCTGGAGGTGAGGGGCGGGGGAGACACAAACCTCACCGTCTGGCTTTCCTCCTCAGACTGCAGCAGCCTGGGGGGACCACCGGCACACCAGCCTTCCAGCCGTGGGGACTCTTGGGCGGTGGTGAGGGTGAGTCTGCAGCTGGCCCACGAGACCCTGCTTAGTTTCATCCCCGCCCGCTCTCAGCCTCAACGGAACCTGACTGCCCCTTACCCCCAGGCCCATTGCACAGGCCCCTCCAGCCTCAGGACCTTTCCACCCGCGGGTCTGACTGCTGGGAATGCCTGCCTTTCTTAGTAGTGTTAGGCCTCCTCATCCCAAGCTCCATCTCCCCAGGGTGGGCAGCCACAGTCCCTGCCCAAAGGGATCTCTGTCCAGTGGGCTGACGGAGATGTAAGCCAAGTGGATGGTGGTTTGCTTCGTGTCAGAGGATGGATCAGACAAGGTGAAAGGAGTGGGATGGGGGGGAGACTGAGGCCTCTCCAGCTATTCAGCTTTGCCTGCATCAAAGAGGGAAAGCACTAGGCGGAATGTAAATGTGTGGGAGATTAATTCAGAATTTGAGAGCCAGGAACTGTTCTAGGCAATGGGTGTTTCCAAGGAGTAAGACAAAAATTAGCACCAACAGCAGTCTCAGGCCTTCCCACACCTCCTTGGTTCCCGGTTCTAGCACTCCATTTGCTCCGGCCGGGGTCTAACTCCCATGTCCCTCCCACAGCCCACGCAAGGCACTCTGGCCTCCACTCCCAGGACCCCTGGGACGCTTTGCTGCCCGCTCTGCCCCAAGGCCTTCCCATTGCGACGCATGCTGACGCGGCACCTCAAGTGCCACAGCCCCGCGCGCCGCCACGTGTGCCGCTGTTGTGGCAAGGGCTTTCACGACGCCTTCGACCTCAAGCGCCACATGAGGACTCACACCGGTGAGCAGCGGCAGGGACAGGGAAGGGCTGCTGGGCTCTGGGCGGGGATGGAACGAAATGGAGGGAGATGCCCGGGATGTGGCGTTTCCAGTGTTGGTGGGGCCGGGACTCCGCCTTCTGGAGGCTTGGAACACCACGTACGTCAGATCTCAGCGGTGGGTGTAAGGTGGCGCCAGGGTGGGGGCCTGACGAGGGATGTAGACTGAAGACAGGTACTGGTGAAGGGATTCAGGTCCCAGATGGAAGGGAAAAGGCTCCCTCCCTCTCCCCCAGAGGAAGGAACATCGTGGTGAGGAGGGTGGGGACACAGGTTTCTGGCCCACGTTTGTGCTGGGCGGAGGTGGCAGATTGTGGGACCTGGCGGAGGAGTAGGGCGAACGTGGAGTCGCAATGACGGCATGCTCACGGGGGGCAAGGTGGGGCGGCTTTAGTCTGGAGGCCATTGCCCCGTTTGTCCTCTCCCCCTCTGGCCCGCCTGCGCAGGGATCCGGCCATTCCGCTGCGGAGCTTGCGGGAAAGCATTTACGCAGCGCTGCTCGCTTGAAGCGCATCTCGCCAAGGTGCACGGGCAGCCGGCCAGCTACGCGTACCGCGAGCGCCGCGAGAAGCTGCACGTGTGCGAGGACTGCGGCTTCACCAGCGCTCGGCCCGACGCCTACGCGCAGCACCGCGCCCTGCACCGCGCCTGAGCCTGTGCGCCCGCGCCCGCGAGAGGCAAATAAACACAGGAAACGCACACACAACACAGCATTTATTACACACACACACACACGGCGGGGTGGCTCACTCGGTCCAGCGGTGGCCGCAGTGTGGCGCCGTGCACACGTAGTACAAGCGCATGGCGTCCTGGCAGAAAGGATGCACGGTTAGGAAGGGCTGGACCCACGGGAGGATACAACATAGAACTTTCATCCTGCAGAGCCTCACTCCAAAACAACAGACATGGGGTTTTCCCCATTGCTAAGAGTCCAGCTCAGGACGCCAGGACGGGCCGAGTCCCCCCAATACCGGTATCCCCGCCCCTGGGAAAGACCAAACCCGGGATACCCAGAAAGCCTTACTCGGGCCCCTCACCTCGGCACGGGCACTGTGTGACTGGAAGAACACTGCCTCCTTGTGGCCGCACCTGAGGGTACAGTCAGCCACTCAGTCGGCCATACCTTTCCCTCCTCCCTTCTCTGCCCGGTGAGGACGAGCCACTCTCCCTCCCCAATCCCAGCTGCGCGCTCACTTCTGGCACGGGTGGTCCTCGGTCCGCGGCAACGTGGGGTCCTGGGACACGTCAGCGATGATCTGGGTCAGTTCGCTGAGGGAATAGAGGGTGAATAATTATGCTCAGACCCGGCCTCCCAGACCAACAACCCTGTCCCCGAGCTCCGGTCCTCCCACTCACTCCACTTCGTGCGTGATTTTGTTGACGTAGATGCAGCTGTTGTCGGCCTCCTGCTGGTAATCACAGTTCCGGCACTGCGAGAGGGCAAGCGTGGCGGGAAGGAGGTCACAGAGCGATCCCCGACGGGACTAGAAGGGAGGGCAGGGCCTTCCCCAGAGGGGATGACTAGAGGATGGAGTCTCGAGCTTGGGATAACGGGGTGTATCGACAATCACCTCGGGGATGGGCAAGACAGGAGAGTCGAGTCCACTCCGGGGGTGGTCAGGAGGCTTTGGGGGCGGCACAGGGAGTAGGGCTCACGTGGAGCAGGGCGGGGCCAGTTGGGATGGGGTGGACCAGTCGGGGAGGACCCGGGCATCCCACGGGCTTGCGCTCACCGCGTAGAGCAGGATGCGGTTCTCTTTGTCCTCCTTGGGGTAAAGCATGTTGTTACTGTGGGGAGGGGGAGGTCAGAGGTCAGTCCTGGGGCCGTGACTTGCTCCCCTTCCACACTTGCTGCCCCGGCCTCACCATTCCTGGCAGAATCGAATCCCCACGAAGCCGGGCTCGTAGGTCCCGTCCGGCTCCATAACGACGCACGGCCCGCCGAGCCTTCCGCGCCTGCTCTGCCGCGCGACAGGTCGCGGGAAGGGTCAGGCCCCGCTGCTTCGCAAAAGAGGGGCGGAGCTGCGCGCACGCAGCGGCTCCCAGTGGCTTTGTGCCTGGCTCTCTGCGCTGTTTGCTTAATTTCTTGCTTCGATCTTTTGATATCGTAGAATAATTGCTTCCAATTTCTGGGCCCCGTTCGCCAGTTTACAGAAGCGGGGTACGAGAGCCGGGAATACGATGCGTCACGTAACCCGCCAAGCGCTGGTTATAAATGAAGACGCCATTGCTCTTCGTTGGCTGAGCGCCAGCGCACATGCGCGAGTTTACCCTCGCGGCCGGGGTAACTTTTGCCAACCTCCCTGTCGGCTTCGGCCTTCGCCCGCCCTGGCCGTTTCCCGTGCCGCTATTGGAAGAACTGGGCTCCATGGAACAGCTCTCGGGATTGGCTGGGCCGACCCAAGACTGCGGGGAGCCCTCTTCCCCCCCGGCGGTGGGGAGAGACGGCGGCCATTGGCCGGCCCTCCTGGCGGGAGAGCGCGGATTGGCCGGGTCGCGAGCAGGGGGTGGAGCTGGTATCCCAGAGGCGGCGGCGGCGGCTGCGGAGCCGGTGTGAGGCGGCGGACCGGGCTGTGGGCCCCGGAGGGCGCGGCGATATGGAGGTGTCGGGGCTGTCGGCGCCCAGCGTGACCGTCTTCATCAGCAGCTCTCTCAACAGCTTCCGCTCCCAGAAGCGGTACAGTCGCAGCCTCACCATAGCTGAGTTCAAGGTGTGGCCGTGGGGGCGGGGCCCGGAGGGCGGGTCGCAGGGCGTGAGGGGGCGGGGCAAAGAAGAAATGGAGGGGCTTCCCGAACGCAGGGAAGGGCCCGAGATAAGCTGAGGCCGCAGAGATTGGGGGCGAGGCAAGAGAGAATCAGAGCTTCCAGAGGGCGGGGCAAGAGCCGAGTTGGGGGTCCAGGGATAACCAGGTGGGTCCTAAATGGTGGGTCTCGGAGGAGTAAGGATGAGTGATGGTTATTGCTACAAGGGGCGGAGCCTCAGTGTAGAGGGTGGGGCGCTGACAGCCTCCCACCTCTCCCGCCCCCTCCGCCTCCTCTCCCCCGCAGTGCAAACTGGAGCTGGTGGTGGGCAGCCCTGCTTCCTGCATGGAACTGGAGCTGTATGGAGCTGACGACAAGTTCTACGGCAAGCTGGATCAGGAGGACGCGCTGCTGGGCTCGTACCCCGTAGACGACGGCTGCCGCATCCACGTGAGGCCTGCCCATCTGGGATCCCTCCCCTCCATTCGTTTATTTATTCGACCAGTGCTTGCTGTACTTTGCCCTGTGTGATGACCAAGACGGGCCCTGCCCCTGGTCTAGCCTGGAGAGACAGACCCATCACCAGACAGTGACAGCCAGAGTGGTCTGGCCTGGACTGGGGGCGCCCCGAGAGGTGCCTGAGTCCACCTGGGAGGATGAGAAGGGGCTTCCTGAAGAAAGGGATGCCGGAGCTGAGACATGGGGATGAGGAAAGGGGGACCTAGGAGAGGAGGTGGGAGGGGCATGCCAGGTGGAGGGAACAAAGTGTATAGAGGCCTAGAGTGTGGGTGGGTCAGAGTGAGTGATGAGGCTGGACGCTTGGGAGAAGCCAGAACACACAGGATGTCTGCATGCATCAGCTCCTGTTGTCCTCTCTGTCCTTACCCCCCCACCCCGCCCCTATTCCTCAGACATTTCAGCGTCCTGGGTGAGCTCCACCTCAGGGCCTTTGCATGTGCTGTACCCTGTGCCTGAAGGCTCACTGCTTCATTCCTGTCTTTACTTAAATGTCACCTTCCAAGTGTGAGGCCTTCGTTGGCCTCACTGTAAAACTTAACCCTCCTCCTTTTTCTGCTGTATTTGATTTTTGTGGTTAGCTCTTATCAGCCTGTGACATACAGTGCATTTTCCACCAGCACCTGGAAATGCCTGGCATAGAGAGGATGCTCAGCGAATCATTGTTGAAAGATGAGTTGAATCTGTAAAATAAGACTTGGAAGATGGCACAGTTAACCCTGTTTTGCAGAAGAGAAGGTTTAGCTTCAGGATGTGGTTTGCTTTCCTGAGGATGAACTATAGCCAGAATTTGTATCTCAGTTTGCATGATCCCAGAAATCAGTGTGCCCAGGAAACTGGTTCTTTTTTATCTTTCATTTATTCGGTAACTGTTCATTGAGCATCTGTGTTATGCCAGGGGTCCAGCTGTGAGCTAAGTCTGAAAAGGTCTCTGTTGTAGCTCTGTCCAGTGTGTGAGGTAGGGGTTAGCCAGATATTCACAGGAACAAATGTGAAGGGTTGGTGAGATGTGGGCCGTGCAGGAGGAGATCATGGAGCTGGGAGATCGTGTACTGGGAGACTTGACCCATCGGTGAGGTCTGAGAGGACTTCCTGGAGGAGGTGTTGCCAGAGCAGAGATCTGAAGAATAGGGAGAGTTAACTGGAGAAGGGAAAAGAGTACTCCAAGGGGAGGGCACAGCATGTGCGAACACTTTGAGGTGGGAGGGAGCGTGGAGGGTACAGAGACCGAAGAGTGGTCTCTCCTACGGTGGAGGGAACGGGGAGCCAGGGCAAAACTCCGAGCCAGGAGCCCTGGTCTGACTCAGGTTCACAGGCTTCCTCTGACTGCGTGTGGGGAACAGACAGTGGAGGACAGGAGGAGTAAGGAGACCAGGGAGGAGGCTGCTTGCATAGTCTGGATGAGGTGATGGGGCCTGGACCGTAGTGGCAGTGGGCTTGGACTGTGCCGAGCCCCTAGGACAGGGACTTGGGGCTGACCTGGGCAGTATCAGCCTGGGGATGCTGGTGGGTCAGGTTGGGGCAGTGGCATTCTCAGTCAGGACGGTGTCACACGTGGATTCAGGTCTAGACAGGCCATTCAAGGAAGATGTCCCAAATTCTCTGGGGAATTTGTAATTTTTGTAAAGTTCTTTTTCTGTTTATAGATATCACCCATGTTCGTTGTTTAAATTAGCAGTAACCTCAAACTTACAGAAATCCCTGATATAGAAAGTAGAAATTCTTAGTGATCCTTGACCAGAGATAAGGGCTGTTTCTGTTCTGCCACGTTGGCCCAGTGGCTCAGGCCGAACACCTCAGGTGTTCCTGACCCCTGTCTTTCCCTCACACCCACATCCCGTCTCAGCAAACCCTGTGGGCTCCACCTACAACATCTGTCCAGAATCTAAACTCTTCTCCCCCACTGCCCCACCTGGTCCAGCCTCCATCCTCCGCCTCCTGGACCATCTCAGCAGCCTCCTGCTCGTCTCCCAACTCCCATCCCGCACCCCTTGGTCTGCTTCCCACGCTCAGCTGAGGGAGCCTGTGAACCCCTGAGTCAGGTCAGGGCCCTCCTGGCTGAGTTCTTCCCTGGCTGCGCCTCAGTCTGAGTAAAAGCCAGAGTCAACGGTGTTCTGTGGCGTCTCCCGCTCTCCCTGGGCTCGCTCCACTCCCACCACACTGGCCTCCCCGCTGTTCCTCAGAAGGGCTAAGGACATTTCTACATCCGGGACTTTGTGCCTGGTGTTCCTCTCATCTCTCAGGCTTTGTCTCAGACACGCCCTCCTCTCACAGGCCCTCCCTAACCACCGTCCCGTGCCCCCGTAGCCCGCCTGTGGTATGTTTCTACATAGACCCTTGTCATGACATGGTGTGTAACACACGTACCTGTGCACATGTTTGTGGTTGGTCTCCAGCAGAATGAGCCCTCCTTGAGAGCAAGGATGTATCTGTTTTTGCACGGCATCCCTAGTACCCAGC